GATCTACCGCTGAATGAAGATCACCACTTCAAGACTTTTCTACAGAATTCTGCTTCCTGCCAACTTTATCCATTTTGACTCAGTACACAATCTCCTCCTGCCATTGATCTGGATGTCTTTCTACGGCCGTTCAGTCCCTCTCTCTTAACTCAGTCAAATGTCTGTCTAGCAACAGTAGATTCTTCTTGCAACGTTTCCTACCCATTGCCACATAACTCTTTACCTGTTTACCCATCAATGACATCGTAGAATCTTGCTTGTGCTCTTGCGCATTCGTTCGATTACCAAACTTTTCATGTTATTCCTAATATGCGTCATGCTGTTTGCGTAGTTCAGAGTTTATCAACAGTTTCCAGACTTAGCGCCTAGGTTTCGCACCCATATGTTAAGATTGGGAAGCACATATTGATCGAATCGAAATTTTTCGTTTCACGGTCAAGGACAGTTTCTCAAATAGAAATATTGTCCTTCTTCCAAAAGTATTCGCCTTTTTATTTTTCGCCTTTTGTTGATTTCGCAGAGTCAGATCTCAGTTGCAGAGATGAGCTGTTCCAGATAAACGTAGCTTTGCAATTCTTAGAGCTTGAGTCAGATGACTTCACCAGGTCTTGGGAACACGTATTTGTTAAATATAATAGAAAATGTTTTAAAAAAGGTCTTTATCTAAAGACGAGTCAAACAGTATCCGAAACGTTGGAGAGTTTGTAAATAATAATACGTTGGATTTATCGAATTTAGAACTAAATTTCTGAATAAAAGAAACCACCTCTGCGCCTAAAATATACATATACAGAGACCATATTTAAGCATTTCAGCAGTTCATGAAACCATCGTATTTGAGCACCCTAAGTGCCAGATGCACTTTGTGGGCTAGAGTCACCTTGTGCTTATCATGACCGATGTTTCACGTGCTAGCACTTCTTATATGCCATCGCATAAACATCATAAGCTGTTTGTATGCCGAAGTACGTGCGATAACGAATGAATGAACCAAGAGTACTTACATTTGGCAGATATATGAAATATACATCAAAATTATAATGCTCATTATAACTGTTATTTATCAAATATTTTATATGAAACTAGTTCATATTACATACATTTATTTCACAAGTAACAGCAGTTAATTTATCACATGTTTCATGTCTGCTTTAAAAGCTTATATTACGAAGTTGCTTCGTAAACTCGAAATATATTTTGTTTTAACTTCACATAAAGATAATACAAATCTCGAACCGCTAACCTTCTCGAACAAAGTCATCATTTCATTTGACAGACGTTGTGTGCTGAGTTTCAGGCACTGCGAACCCTGAAACATGGATTTCATTTGAATGTAACATGGATCGTGTAGCGCCATCAGGAATTCCGCCTGAAACTGAATTCATATTAGAGGATCAGAAGAACGTGCCAAATGAAATTTTTCATTTTTTAATGATACAAAATTTGTCTACACACCCCAAAGCATCAGCCAACAAACAGTTAATGATAAATGACAATTTGCCTTAAGATATTAAGCACAGGATTTGACTGAGGTTCGAAGAGAGCAGAACATTATGAATGAGCATCGTATTTGTTTACGATTAAGATTAAGAGGATTTTCTGTCGAAAGAAATCACTACCTTTCCTAAGCAATTGCAAAGATAAAAATGTTAAATGCTAAACCCGTTAACTGCTGGACCACACATTTATGAGTCATTGTTACGGATTTAATCAGATCTACACAAATCATTAAGTTGGAAAAATATTTTGCCTACAACATATGCAACAGAAATCATATTCTTCACAAACTGACTGACTGACTGAATGACTGAGAGGGCTTTCAGCATTATGGTAGTGCAGTGATACTACCAGTAATATCTTAATTTTTAGTTCTAATAGCAGTAGTTCCACGAACGTAATAACAGTTTGTCAGTGATATCACAACAGCGCAATCAGAATCATTACGCCCATTATGGTACTTTAGCAGTCTTATTACTGCTAATGATAGTACCAGTAGTGCTAATAAACTAGCAATAAATATAATTTGAAACATTCTATTCTGGGCCTGATGAAGAAACTGTAGATCATTTGCTAGTTCATGAGCGAGGTTAATTATTTAAAATAATGCTTTTTACATTACTGATCATACAAGTCGATTTAAAGTATGTTAATCTGTAATTCAGGACACTGCTAAGGAATTTAACATAAAGAAGTATAATTACTGTTATTACAAAAGGCAAATTCAATGTTTTATTTCTTCTTCGAAAAAATCATTATATACATAGTTTCAATACTCTATTGATTAAAACTGCCACAACTGCTTATATGTATATATAAGCTATTATAAATTTAATGCGCCATTAAGTAACTCTGAGAAAAACAACTCTCTAAGTTGGTTGACAAATTACCATGTAACTGCGGAAAATATTACATAGGAGAAACAAAAAACACCGTCTTTCAGAAAAAAGACTTGTTTGTGAAGCTAGAGAATATTAATGGTAGCAGACCATTGAAGCACCCGAGGAGGGTGGGAAAGAAAACAAAGCCTCGTCACTCGGAAAATATGGAACAATGCTAAAAGACTTCCGGGATCGTGCAGTACGCGGCACAGTTAGGACATCACCCCCTCCCACTCCGATACTAGAACTGGTCGCCATTATCGAAGACACCGGCCATGTAGCTCTGCCATGTTAAGGTAACACTGATCGAGTCATGCAACAATGCCAACGTGAAAAAGGATACAAACTCAACAGGGATTCGATGAGCCTCATCGCCTCTGTATCTCAGAAACTAATTAACCAGCAGCACAGACCAATAGCTTGCCTTCTGGATTCAAACCTGCCAAAAGCTGCGAACAAGAAAAGTCTCCGAATCTGTGCCAACCTTTTACATTGAAAAAGGCTTGTACGACATGAGCGAGAATGTCGGTAGTGGCCAGTCATGCGATTGACCGTATTATTTTTTGCGTTGTGTATTAATGAACTGTATTTTATGCTTTTTATCTCCATAATTTTAGTACTTTGCTTGTTTTAGTATGTTTAGCAATTAGTAGATTAAGTTTTAGTACTTAGTTATCCGTATTTTACCATTTCGTCAAGTAGCAGCATTACAAGACGAATGATTATAGATATTAATCCCAGGCATGGTATGATTAGTGTAAAGTTTCTTAATAACCTCAA